CACAATGGAGCGGCTACTTATGCAACCGGCGAGCCGTTGACGAACAAACAAAGACTTGGCTGACGTCTACATCGATAATACCCAGCCTTATCTAGATGCATTGGCCGCTACAGCACTGGCTGGTCCAGCAGAACCATGCATACATACTATAAAGCCTGAACTTAACTGTGTCACGCCAAGTCTGCCCTTTGAACAGGTTGCACCGGCAGTGGAGCAGCTTATGGGAACATCTATTGCAACTACGTTGGAGTTGCCGTTGCTATGGGCCGCACTTGAGACGCCAGAAAGTTACAAATACGCGCTTATCCCGAGTAAGGTAAGACAAACGATATTGTGTGCTTACCCAAACGCGGGTGGAACTAAAGCCGTTAACCCTGTTCAATGCGAGGACTTTTACGTTACTGGCGACGGTGCCCAGCTCAACCTGGTCCACATTAGCAACAGCGAGCCCATCAAAGCAAACGATGCTTCAGCTCAGAGATCACGCGTAGGTCGCGCAGTTGGAGGGGAATACAATCGCCGCGAGCTTGCTGCTCTCCACTCGCGGATCACTGCTAACCGCCGATACATGACGGAGATGACGCATGAAGTACAACGATTACGCAACGAACAGTAGCGCGAGCTGCAGAAACTGCAAGCAGCTGTGAGACGCCTTGCAATGCAGCCCAGTATGCAGATTAGGATGTGACTTCACAGATCCCGATAATTACTGAAAGGTCCTCTCGCGTGGTGGCTGCCACGATGTCAAAGCGGCCTAAACATCTATTTGCGCTTTGGTACGAGTACCAAAATCAATGCGGTGACTTGAAAACGGCAAAGGAGTTTACAGCTACCGAGAGGGGCGCAAATAATTGTGCGTATTCGCGACGCAATTTGTTTTTGGAAACCTGATTCAAGCTGGTTTCACGAGTGATACAGCGATTGATAGGATTTACGTTCTGTATGGCAGGAAGCTCTCAGTATCAAACATATTGGTAGCTTTACGCCAAGATCGCAAGCGCGGAGGACACTCAGGTCTACGCATATAGAAATCTGATAACGTTAGCTTCAACACCGTCAACAAGTTATATTTGACCAATTAAAACAAAATTTCAACCCAGGTTTCACAAACAGCCTGTATTCTTACAGTATAGTGTTCCGCTTTGACCTATATGGAGAACATCTTGTAGTGTACTAGCGCTCACGGTACCGTGTAGGGGAGCTTTGTCTGGCTGTTTCTCTTGGTGGCCTGCACACCTAAATGAAGACGCGAGTCCCAAGTTCAGACTGAATTTTAATATTTGCTCATGGCACGTACACGCGTAGAGCCATAACAACAATTATCAACAATTTCTTAGAGCTGTCCCCATGCTTTCTAACTAATGTTGAGGTCTGACCCCGATCCTTGGTGTTTAAAGCGGTTCCATCGGTACCAGCACGTCCAAATAACGTATATTCAGTCCGTTTGCCTGACTATTTTCGTTTGACACTTCTAGAGGTCTAGAGTATTATTTAGTTTATCTGACTGGAGCTCTTGTAGCTCCAGCCACCTCGGGATTGTTGGGCAGTAGTGCTGAAAGATTTCGCTCGAAAATTGTGCTTCCTAGGAACCGCTTGCCCGAGCTAAGCGGTGAGCAACAGAACCCCCAAGGTTAGATACTTTACCACATGAGTGAATTGAAGCTGTGCCACATCCAATCTGCACCGGCGTTTACCGTAAATGGGCGAAACAGCGAGCATAGGAGATTTAACAGGAGCGCCTTGAGTTTCTAGAAGAGTAGAATATCCAAATATTCAAGCTAAGCAGATCACTTCATCATTAAGCAAAGACGAAAACGGCATGACCTTGTCATGGCCTTTGGACCTGGTATCTCAGAATATCAGCAATTAGGACACTATTTTTTAAAGGATCAGGATGTGGTGTGGACCACGATGCCGGCGGTCCAGGCAAAAATCGTGTGCACGAGTGGCACTTGCAGTGTCAGGCGGCCACGTGCACGGAACAGGACGATAAGGGCGTGTGTGAGGCGACTTGCAGTCCTGGCCAAGGTCAAGTCGAAGAATGTGGTCGTGAAGCGCAGTGCGTGCGGCCTGCGCATCCCGATGAATCCAGCGAGGTGTTTGTGCTGTATGGAGCCCCTTCAAAAATGGCACAAATCGAATATTTGCAGACGCCACAACAATTTGCGGTCGCGCAAAAGTGAGTGCTTATGGTCCATATTCATGATGTCTTCACCAACAAAAACGCCACAGTGTCCAATCGTCTCCTGTACGCTCATGTCAAAGCAATCTGCCGGCCGCAGCAAAGGCTTCACGGCGTCTGTCTAGCAATCATATTATTTCATTATTGATCCTAATGCATAGTTTGCAATTTTCATGTACTGGCGCAGGCTTCTTAAATTCGTTGGGGACGTTCTGCCACTCTTCGGAATGGGAGAACATACAGTTTGAAACCTACTGAATGGCCTTCTCGAAATACTAAGGCTCTTCAGCGTAAGTTCTACTCCTT